GCGATGCGGGGCGCGAGTAAAACCCACTTAACCCGTTCTTTGCCGCGTCAAAGAGACGCTCGTTCTCGTTCGCGTCGATCCGTCGAGCCGAAAATGGCATTACTCTCGCGGCGGAGAAAGCAATCTCGGGAGCGTGGCGCGAGAAAAAGATCCTTCCTGGCTATAAAATATTCCGGGACGCGACGTCGCCCGCACCGAGCCACTCTGCCGCGTTATTTTCCTCGCGAGCCATCTTTGCACGAGGCCGACAGCGACGACGAGGGCGAGGGTGACCAACCCTTTGTCGCGGTAAAGTATCTTCGCGACGATTACGTTTCTCGCGACGGCCCGCTTTGACAACTACCGGAAGCGAGGCGAGGGAGCGAGCGAAATTGGCGTCTGCGGAACGCGAGACGATAAACTAGATTTTGCCCGACCACCGAGAGATACGAGTTCCGCTTCGGTCCGTTCGCGGCTCGATTAGAAACGCGATGCCGTGGATTTATTATCGTCGAGCGAGCGAACGGGTTTCGAAAACGCGGCCGAAAGAAAAGGGAAGGAACGAGCGAAGGGAGGGAGCGAGGGGTTCGAACGCGAGCGGTGAAGATAGAAAGAAAGAGGGCGAGGAGAGGCGCACGGGGGAGGAAAAGAGGAAGAGGTCGCGCGGGAACGAGAATGGTTGTAGAGCGCGCTGGAGGCGAGGCCTGACATTTGGTTACTGACATTTTCACCCCGGGGTTGACGGCGGGCAACCCTTTGGCGTTACCCGCGCTCAATCACTCCATTGTCTCGAGCGGCGCTCGTTTTATGCTCGCGTCAACGCTTCATTATGGGGCCCCGGGTCCGGTCGACTTGGCTTCTATAGCCCACGTGCTCGGCACATTGTCTATCCCAAGAATATATTACGCGCCCACGCGATCGCGCGCGACGAAGCGGGTGAACGCGAATGCGAGCGCGAGCGAGCCTGTCGTCTCGCGCATCGCGCGTCGCCACCTCGTCTACCGATTCCGGATTCCGCCTGCGGAGAATTCGCGCGACAGCCCGCTAGACGCCTCTTCGGCTAACCTTTGCCAGACGTTTCCCTGGCGTTGCTCGGATACGTTCGAATTCGCGTTTTCCGCGGAAAATTATGTACGCTTTTTTTTTTTTAGCAAGGCTGTAAAGGTTTTCGCTCGGGAGAAAGGATTCGAAATCGTTTCGAAAGACGTTCGCGTTCGAAAAACTAACGCAAGAGTCGGAGGTCGATCGAAAGCGACAGGATCGTGTTGGCCGTGAACGATTCTGCATACCGTACGGCGTGTACAGCGTAGAGTATAGAGCGTAGGAAATAGGGAGGCGCGCGGTCGGTGCAGCGCGGCAATTAATTACGGCGTAAAGTCGCGCGCTCGTATTCGATTAATTACCGCGACTGCCGCGCGATCGGAGTCCGCATAATTGACATTGTTGCCACATTGTTTACAGTGGCCAGTGAATTTATCGATAGATGGCCGGTAGGACGAGGTCGCGCTCCGCGTTGTTCTCTCGGTTTCCCGAATATTCGCAACCCATTTTCCCGAATGCGATCAATTGCACGGCGCCGCGTTGCGTCTACCTCGCTTTTTCGAGACGGAAGAGCGGACAAAGCCGGACGGTGGTGGTTCGCGACAAGATTTTCGTTGGCGGTTTTAACGAGGGTGGCGAGAACGAAAATCCAGCTTATCCGTTGTAAAGCGCGGAACCCTTTACGCGCGCGAGCTAGAGAGCGCGAGCTCTCGTCGGTTGATCCTGGAACGCGTGGGATCGCGAATCTCGTCATTTAATCGAATACTCGATAAAAAAGTTAGGACGACGCCTACGAGACGAAAAAGCGTATCCTTCTCCCGTTTCGTTCGCTCCTTCTTCCCGCAGGTAGATCAAGACAGGTACGACCAAGGTCAAGTTTTACCCCCGTAGCGCTTCTTCTCTTCCTCTTCCTGCTCGTCTTCCTGTTCCTGTTTCCTCGTCTCCGTCTCGCGCTCTTTCGTTCGGTCGGTGTCCGCGACCGTTCCCGCGAAATGGAAGAATAGACGGACCCGTTTCGGACCGCCTCTCCTCGCCCCGCGATTCCGGTCGGTCCAACGCCCGATCCGTGGCTTCCTCGAGCTCTCTCTCCCTCTTTCTCGCGCGCGCACGTAACACCACGGACCGGTTTCGAGAGCAGCCGCGGGGGTTAAATGTCAACGAGGGCATAACGGCCCGGTTTAGAGGATTACCCCCGATGTTGTTCGGCCATCGAGGGCGAACGCCAGACAAAAGGTCGCGAACTTTCCGCGCGTCGTAATCCGTCTGAGAGGGTTCTCCGCGTTCCGCGCTATCGCGGCGCTTCGAAATTCCGACGCGTTCGCGCGACGGAAGCGAAACGAAGAAGCTCCGGAGAGGAAAGAGGCGCGAGGTCGCGTCGCCTCGAACGAGGGTCGCGAAGGTAACCCGAATACCCTAATGGGATCGGCATCGGTGTCGTTAACATGACAATACGAATCCTAAACGTTCGCGTACGTTCAGAGGTATAGCGGCGAGTTCCGAGTAGCTGAGAGGCACGTAGGTCGATTAAATGCGCGTCGCGTTCGTCCGATGCGTACGTCCGATAGGGTCGAGGCATCTTGTCTCCAAATACGAGCCTTGTTATGATAATCGTTGCTCGCGCCCCCGTCGCTTCGTGTACCAACATCGTGCTCGTGCCCATTATATCTTTCTACCTTCTGCTCCCCTTCGCGCCTTAGCCCTCTTCCCTGCTTCTTGCCGTCTAGGACCTACCTACGGACTAACTCGCCCCGTTTCCTGGCTATTCGGTGTTTCCGCGACGAGCGACGCTCGGTTTTCAACCGTCTCCGATGTCGTTCGCAAGGAAATTGACGGCGCCATCGAGCGCATCAAATTCGTAATTACCGTCGGTAGACCGCTTTCGCCGAGTAACGTTCTTCCTCCCGCGACGCGAGTTCTCGCTCGATCGAAGGGAGCGCAGATCCACGAATCGTCCTCGAGGAGACCTCGACGGAGAAAACGCGTTATTTATAAAAGCGTATTTCGAGACGCGATCGATACGCGTCCTTCTTCCGTCCGTCTAACAAAGGACCCTGTATCGCGTTCGGCTTACGTTGCCTGTTCTCGCGATAATCCTCCGCGGTTCCTACCTATTCTCCTCGCGAACTACCAACGTCTCGAGAGCTTCCTCGTAGCTTCGACCGGGGGGCAAAGCAATTACGCGACGTCAGCTCGTCTGAATTCGAGCAGAAACGTTGACCGAAATCTTTACCCCCGTCTTTTCGACCCGTCTACTTTAGCCGAAAAGATCGCGTTCGCGTTTGCTACTCCTTCCAATGTATGCGCGTACAAATAAGGCAGCCGAGCCGGAGAGACAAATGACGCGGAGAAAGAGAGAGAGAGAGAGAGAGAAAGGGATCGGCGCAGCTCGACACAAAGCATCCCCCGAACACCCTTTCCGAGTCGGAGGTGACGTCACTGACAATGGAAGGTCGAGCTGTGATTAAAGATCGAGAGACTCCGTAAAAACTCCTTGAAAAGTGTAGGAACGAAGGAGAGAGCGGGAGGACAGGCGGACCTACCGGCGTGAAATATTGCCTCCGCGGCACCCGACAGCTATATGACGTTTCCGAAGGGCATGAAAGAATCCTCGCCACAGTCTCTGTCTCTCTCTCTCTCTCGTTTCTCTCGTTCCTCGCGCCTTTTCGTCTCGATCGCTTCTTCTTTCCAGTTTGTCTCGTTCGTTTTTTTCGTTGCCGTAAGTTCCGGACACCGTACTTGCTCGCCGCGTCCAATCGGTTATTTCGCGGGAAGAGTCTCCGATAGTCGAGGTTCGGTTTCTTGAAAATCACGAGACGCGTGTACGGTTTGGCGAATCAGAAGCGACGGACCAAGACGGAGATTCGATCGGGACAGAAAGAGAGACTCGGAGTTTAAAATCGGTCAATTTAGAGAGCGAGGCTGGTCAACGAGGCGCCAGGGCATTTAGCCGGTTAACGCGCGCGGAGAAGCAGGCCGAGAGGGAGAGCGAACGGGATAGGAGAAATCGTGATCGAGTGGCGAAGAGGAAAGGGGTCGAGGCGCGGAGACGCCACTCAACGGCATTATTCGAATTGATGCGGTGAATTGGCGCTGACGACATCGGGAGAGCCAATCCGACGGTTTGTTTATTGGTCGCGCGTTGGCGGATTCCTCGCGGTATTACGCTTCGATCGACGATCTCGCACGACGCGTACGCGTGGCGTATCGGATTTTCGAGCGAACCGAGATCGAACCGTGGAAACGGAACCTAGAGGCGTCGCGCGCCGCCAAGATTTCACGGTGTCGAGTTACGGAGCGTCGTCGAATTCCTTCGCGATCGCCACGTGCGCGTAATGGGCCATTACGCGTACGTATGGAAATCGCGCCGTTTACATGCTCGGCCAGACCTCGTCCACCGACGCGGCCTACGGGCAGATCGTTCGCGTTGGCCGATTAGTCCCCTCGCGAGGGGACGATGCGAAGGATCGCGGTCGAATCAAAAGTTGGCGAATTTCTCGGAAGCGATCGACGAATCGAGCGGACAACGGCTTTGAACGGTTTAGCCGGTTGCCGAATTTCCGAGGCGCGGAGAGCGCGCGAGGTTGAATTTTCGAAGAGAAAGCCGAGAGAAACGAAACAATGGTGGCGCGTAAAGCGCGAAAGCGAAAGGTTCGGTGGTCGCGAGCGGTAGGGGTGCTATCCGAGAAGCGTGATTAGTCCGACGTTTGCGCGGGCTACGTCTCTCTAGTTGGCACGCGTTCCAACGGGTCCCTCGACTCTCATTCTCCGCTGCTGCGTGTCTGCTCGCCCGAGGCTGCTTTTCGCGGCGAGTCCGTTCGTCCCTTAAAACGTTCCCCGCACGAATCGCTTCGAAAATTCCCAGACTCGTTCCTCGTCGCGTCGCACTCTTTAACGAAACTCGAGAAACTAAGATTCGTTAGAGTCCTGTGGCGTCGATAGCGAGGAAGAATGATCTAAATTTGCTGGTTGTTCTGTTTCAGACGCGTGCGGATTATCGGACGTGGCGCACATCGAATCGCTTCAGGAAAAGTCGCAGTGCGCTCTGGAAGAATACTGCAGGACGCAGTACCCGAATCAACCGACCAGGTTCGGCAAGTTGTTGCTACGGTTACCGTCGCTGAGGACAGTATCGTCGCAAGTGATCGAACAGCTGTTCTTCGTCCGGCTCGTCGGAAAAACGCCGATCGAGACGCTGATCAGGGACATGCTGTTGAGCGGTAGCAGCTTCAACTGGCCGTACATGTCCACGATGTGACATTCTGTCTGGCGACAGCTAGCTTCCGCCTAATACTGTCGCTCGCTTCCCGTCTCGTCCAACGATCGCGCGACGCTCCAGTCGGATTCACCGATCGTCCACACCGGCGACCAGTTTCCCTCTACGCCTCACGGTTTCTAGCCCACGGAAGCTGCCGATACCGAGCGCGACACCGACGATGCTCCCGATCTTCGAGAACGCGTTCGTTCAAAACGGAGAAACAACGGAGAGATCGACGAAGGAAGAAAGTGGGCGGAGAAGAGGAAACGAGCGGGTGCACGCGCGTTACGAGGGAAGCCAGCTCGAAAGAAAGGAAGGGCGGAGAGAACGATAGACGCGATAAAGACGTTACTCGACCGAAGAATCGAAGGCGCCGACTGATTCTTCGACCTGGACGGTCAGCGATCGTTCGAAGTTGTTTCGTGACCGCGGTGCGGCGTCCAACGAATCGATGGGAATAGATAAACGAACGACCTTCAAACTCTTAACGTCGAAGCGCGATTCGGTAACGTTTCGGCGAACAAACGAGAATACCTGATTAGCGGTGTAGCGTGGCGCGAAGAAATCATAAATTAGCATTTGTAATCGACGGCGGGGATCTGGTAGATCCTCGGTCGGTATCTCGCATCGATCTTCGCGTCGAGTAATTGCCGTTAGTCCAGTCATGCCGAAGCCCTTAGTCATTCGTTTCGACGTTTCGTTCTCCGCGTTCGCGTTAGCGTTCGCGTTCGTTGCCTCGTTCCCAGCAACCTCCCACGTTTTCTCCTCGCTCGTTTTTTACGTCCCGCGAAAAACGCCTCGCTGTCGATCGCCGCGACGCTCGGCTTCTGTCCGCGACGTCCACTCGCGGACACCGTAAAATCCGATCTTTCGTCGAACGTTCGAACTTTTTCTCCTTTCTTTCTTTCTCTCTTATTGCGCGTACCGTTGCCGTGCCGTTCGCGACTAACGCTTTTCGCGTTCATTGAATTTACGCTTCGCGTTGCGTCCAAGTCGTCCGGTCGTTAACGTTTTCGGTGAAATTTTCGATTTCGCGGAACGAGGAAACGACGGCAACGCGCTTTTCGACGAGTCTTGCGAGAAGAAAAGGGGACGTCGATTTCCGTGAGCGTAACCGCGCCTCGAAACTGTACGGGAACGCCGAGAAACGTGAAGCGGAACGTAACGGTCACGAGAATATTATTTATCGTTCGTTCGAACGCGCGCGGAGAAGAAAGAACAGCGTAAAAATGAAATCGAATCGATCACTTTCGCGCGTCGCTTCCGGATTCTAAGGACGCTGGTTGTCGGTCGCGCGCGAGATCGACGCGTCCCTGTGCCCCTACTATCCAATTTTCGTTCGCGAACACGAATCTAGAATTAGATCGCTTAGCGCGACTTCGAAGAGCGTCGATTCGCGTTGTCTCGCGATATCTTCTCCCCTCCTGTCTCGCTCTTTCGAGCCCGTTAACCGCGCGTTCGGGACGTTTCAGCGGTGCGCTCGTTCAATTTGCGGACGAGAACGAGAACTAACGAGAAAAAGATGCGAGCTCGGTCGGTGGCTAAACGAGCGCGCGCGGACAAATATATTTTTCTTCCGAATGCGTTCGACGCGAATGATCGTTTGGTTTCCGACTAGCCTTGGAGTCGGTGAAACGGCAAGCGCGAAAAAGGAAATCTGCGAGGAGAAGATCGCGAGAAAATTCGTCGAACGCAATGTGATATATACGTGTACGTGAAAATTTAGAATTCGAATCTTTTTTCGAGAGACGGTGCTTCTTTTTTAACGACTCTATAAATAGTCTATGATACCTGAGTGCGGCGCGTTGTACAGGGTGCGTACGAGCTGTACCAAACGATGTACGGATCGTTCGAACGAAACCAGACATTTCGAACGTATCGCGTTACGTTAAATGTGGCAATGTCGAGCTAGTTACTTAGAAAATCATTTAGGGGTATATGGGATATTTCTAATATTTTTAAGCCGCGATCGTTCGTTGAAAGCGGCGCGCGAGAAGCACGCTCTCGTACACGGAGAACGAAATCGTCTCGATCGGAAGACTCTGCGAAACGAACGCGATTCGGACTCGAACGAACAACCGACGCGAGTAACGGATCGAATCGTATCGAAGAAACGAGATCGAGACGCGTGCGAACGCTCGTCGAATCGAACAATTGTATTATATGTATACCGACGCGCGACCATTGGATGTACGTAGGCCGAAAAGACATCTATATAGAGTTATGTATAAAGACGCGAGAACCTTTTTGTATAAAACGTGTACATAATTAATATATGCAAATATAAATACGATTACAAATACTCTGAAGCGGACTGTTGTACGCGAACGCGTCGCGTTATCGAATTTTCCACAGGTCTGATCGATCGAACCACGTACATAAGTCCCCAGGATCAATCACGTAAGTATTCTTCGGGAATATTCGATCGCGGTAGCCATCGAAGAACGTACGAGATGCTCGACGTCCCGATCTTGCAATCTTCGAGGTTAGTCGAAATATTTTTGCGTTCGTGGACCGGGAAGATGTCGAAGAATCAACAGCGACATCGAGTTTCTTTTCTTTTTGGTGCAAAACTTCGGTCGTTAACGAACGTGTGGCGTGGCTCGCGACGATCGCGCGGAGCCCCTGCGTTTCAGAGCATTCCTGCACGAGCGTATTTCAATATAAACAATCGCCGAGCGAATTTCCCCTGACGCACGGCAGTGATTTCTGGCCGACGTGACGGCGATGCCTCCGTCTGCGAGCTCGACCCCGCGTGCCCTCGCCCGAGGAACGCGACTCGTTTCGATTCTTCTTTAACCTCTCCCCTTGTTGCCTGCTTGCCTGCCTGCCTGCCTGCTCGCCTGCTCGACCGCTTGCCTGCCTGCCAGTCTTCCTGCTCGTCCGCTTGCCTTTCTTTTCTGTGCCTCGCGTTGCTCCTTTTCCTTTTTCCTCCCTTCTGTCTTTTTGTCCTTTCCGTCGTCGATTCGTGGAATTTCCACCAACTGTTCACCCTTTCTCGCGACAACGCGCTTTTCGAATCGATCGACCGGTCGACGATCGAATCGATTCGACGGCCGTTCGGAGGCCAAGTTTCTCGACGATGGTTTTTCTGTTCGGAATCGCGAGTGTTTCGAGGGAGCGCATAAAAGGCGGATAAATCACGGAAGGGAGAAAGAGAGGAGGAAGGCAAAAACCGTGGCTGGGTCGGTCGCGATGGATCGCGAGAGAGCTGCGGCGTGCCGAGCGGACAGCTCCGAGAGCCAGTCGGATGCTTAGAATTTCGATAAATCTAACTTGGCAGGAGAAACAAACGCGCGCGGAAGAGAGGGAGGCTTTTTTCGAACGGATAACCTCGCGCTTTGGCTCGCGTTCAAAAATTTCGCTCCTTCTTTTCTGAACGGTCGGTAAACGTCGGTTGAAAGCGTACGAGCCCCGAGATCTCGATCGAGATCGAACGCGGCGTTATCGGCAAGCTCTCGCGCGCCGACGATCAACGACGAAAAGCCGCTTTCGGAGCGGGAAGTTTGCGGTCCGCCGGATGAATCGGGAGCACCGATTCGAATTTCGTCCCACTCAGAGCTGGCTGGAAACGGGCTAAAATTTTGGAGCGGATCCAGAAATCGCGATCGGCGAATTTCGCTAAATCGTCCCGCGAGAAAGACCCGAGTCGATTCCGCTACGTCACGGTCTCTCGACCTTCGATATTTCGATTCTACCCCATCTCCGTTCAACCAATTTCGTTTACGGCGATACAATTTTCGGAACATGTGTAACGACCCTGGATGCTTTGCTTTACGATCAAGAAAAAGGACAAACGAGATTTCGATTTGTCGTGTGGTTGTTTATGAATAATTCTATTAATGGCCAATCTTCTTATCGAGAATACATTTTTTTCGTGGAACATGTAAACAAGATGATAGATAAAACAAAACTGCTTCTTCGAATTGCATGAAAACTCTGGTTTATCTTCGATGGACTCGTTTTTTTAATGCCTTCTACGTGCGTCGTAAAGCGTAGACCTTTTTGATGCTAATATAGCCGCATCGTTACTTTTTGTCCTTCGTTCGTTGAAAAATCGCTAATCATCTAATACCTACGTACGTATTTCTTCCTCGAGCTATTGCACTTTGTTTCTGCTGAATCGCGTTATCCCACTAACATAGACGAGGAACTTCCAAATGTAAAGAAGCTCTCGTTCTCGACAGCCTCCAAGAGAAGACATTTCTGCGTCTACCGTTTGACGAATCGAGCGGCGCGTTATAGGTTATCGACTCGACGCGTTTCTTTCCATTTTCTATTTCGCGATTAGATCGTTCCGTCGAGTTCGCGGCGCCGTTCACGGCTATTTCCCACGGCAGTCAACGCGCAAATATTTGCGGCGCTAACCAACGATCGAACATCGATTTCACCTCGACCCTAACGGCAACGCGTAACACGTATTTGGGACGCTAAATGACCAGATGCTAACGCGAATCCCGTTAAATCCAGGTTCGAGAACCACGAGCAGCTCAGTTCCGAGCATCGCCGGTATCGAAAGACGAACCGGCGTCGCTTTTCGCGAATTCTCGATTGCGCCATTCTCTCGCCTTTCATCGGCCGTACCGTAGATCGGCGATCGGCGAACAGGCGACGACGCGAGTAAACAACCGTCGCGTTTCCCCGTCTTGTCCGATCGCTTCGCTGGCGATAACGAGCGTCGAAAACAACGATTACGACGAGACGCGGCTCGGCGTCGCGTTTCGCGAAATTGGAACGAGAAACTGAACGACGCGGGACACGCATCCGGCGCGATCTTGCTCGATTAACCGATTCTTCGAGCGTCGTCCGCCCGACCCTTTCAATTCCTCGGCGATCAAAGGAAACGCGCCCCGGTAATCCGACTTCCGTGTCTTCCGTTCCTTGATGAAGTAATGCGCGTTCGTTGGCTTTCAATTGGTATTCGCGACCCACGCACCAACTGCGACGTCTTCTGTTCGCGGAACAAAAGTCTCCGCTGAATCGAACCTGCCTTCTTTCTATGCCAGCGCGTATAGTCGCGATGGGATTCGAATAAAGGTTTCTTCGGGGGGTTCGTCTCGACGATCCGTGCTAGATTCTTTCTAAAAGCACGCGAATCTTTGGGCGCACGAGAATGCCAGAAGCGTACTCGGTGCGAGGCATCGAGTCGATAAAGGCGACGACGAGATCCTAAGATACCCGAACCGAAATCGAAACCTTTCTACGCTCTCGAACGCTTTAAAAGAGACGAACAACGATGTTTTTAAAATAGGATACGAATTCGCGATAGTCTGGGTGCCCGCACACCGTCGCCTATACGTATACGTGTAAACGCGTAAACGAGAGGCGGAGCCTCGGTCTCGAAGGGGTCAGAGGCCACTGCCAATCGCGTTCCGCTGATAATCGCTCTCTCGCCCGCTAATCGCTTCGTCTTCCTCCGCGGCTTGTTCCACGCGTAAAGCGAGGAAATGCGATCACCGAATTCGCTGAGAGATCGCTCGTCTTCGAACCAACTTTCCTCGCGAATCGTCACCGGAATCGATTCGGTCACATTTTCCAACGCCACGTTTGTTCGACTTCGCGACGGACTCGCGTAATCGTTCGATTTGTACGCGTCACTTTTTCGAGATGCAACCGTCTTAACAGTAGAGTCTGTTTCTTTTGTTTTCCCGTTTATCCGCTGTTCGCGGATATCGCCGCTCTAAAATCTCTCTCTTTCTTTTCTGGCTTTTTTCTTATACCGCGCGATCCGTGTCGGCGCGTTGACGAATCGCTATTTCGCTCTACACGCTCTTTTATCGCTTACCAAGGAATTCGAGCCAAATTGCTTGTTTTTTCGCAGTCTTGGAAAACTTTTGTTCGATTCGAGTTAAATATTTCCGATATTTTAGATTTCAGGGACGAATATTTCCGATTACGTGTAGGCGTTGAGTTTTTCATCAAACGTTTGATTCGTATGAACGAGGTTCGATAGTCGATACTCGAATTTCCGCGCATCCGGCGCGATCTTGCTCGATTAACCGATTCTTCGAGCGTCGTCCGCCCGACCCTTTCAATTCCTCGGCGATCAAAGGAAACGCGCCCCGGTAATCCGACTTCCGTGTCTTCCGTTCCTTGATGAAGTAATGCGCGTTCGTTGGCTTTCAATTGGTATTCGCGACCCACGCACCAACTGCGACGTCTTCTGTTCGCGGAACAAAAGTCTCCGCTGAATCGAACCTGCCTTCTTTCTATGCCAGCGCGTATAGTCGCGATGGGATTCGAATAAAGGTTTCTTCGGGGGGTTCGTCTCGACGATCCGTGCTAGATTCTTTCTAAAAGCACGCGAATCTTTGGGCGCACGAGAATGCCAGAAGCGTACTCGGTGCGAGGCATCGAGTCGATAAAGGCGACGACGAGATCCTAAGATACCCGAACCGAAATCGAAACCTTTCTACGCTCTCGAACGCTTTAAAAGAGACGAACAACGATGTTTTTAAAATAGGATACGAATTCGCGATAGTCTGGGTGCCCGCACACCGTCGCCTATACGTATACGTGTAAACGCGTAAACGAGAGGCGGAGCCTCGGTCTCGAAGGGGTCAGAGGCCACTGCCAATCGCGTTCCGCTGATAATCGCTCTCTCGCCCGCTAATCGCTTCGTCTTCCTCCGCGGCTTGTTCCACGCGTAAAGCGAGGAAATGCGATCACCGAATTCGCTGAGAGATCGCTCGTCTTCGAACCAACTTTCCTCGCGAATCGTCACCGGAATCGATTCGGTCACATTTTCCAACGCCACGTTTGTTCGACTTCGCGACGGACTCGCGTAATCGTTCGATTTGTACGCGTCACTTTTTCGAGATGCAACCGTCTTAACAGTAGAGTCTGTTTCTTTTGTTTTCCCGTTTATCCGCTGTTCGCGGATATCGCCGCTCTAAAATCTCTCTCTTTCTTTTCTGGCTTTTTTCTTATACCGCGCGATCCGTGTCGGCGCGTTGACGAATCGCTATTTCGCTCTACACGCTCTTTTATCGCTTACCAAGGAATTCGAGCCAAATTGCTTGTTTTTTCGCAGTCTTGGAAAACTTTTGTTCGATTCGAGTTAAATATTTCCGATATTTTAGATTTCAGGGACGAATATTTCCGATTACGTGTAGGCGTTGAGTTTTTCATCAAACGTTTGATTCGTATGAACGAGGTTCGATAGTCGATACTCGAATTTCCGTATCAAACCCGTAGCGCCACCAGTCGTTTAATCGTCGGTACTCGAGACCCTACATTTGATCGATAGTCGAACTAGGATAATTTTCGGTTGTTCAATTAATCGATTCCCTTTGAACGGTACCGCGAGGAATCCTATCGCATAAACGTCTCTACATTAAATTGTGTCAAGCTGCTATAAGTACTTAACTCGTACGATAAAGCAGGTTGCATCGTTAAAAAATAATTCGTCGAATAAGAGGAAAATCTGGCAAAACTGTTGCCATTCTTATGTCATTCCCTATATCATCGACGAGATGCAACATCATGTCCGAACTGATCTGAACACATAATCCGCATTTTCGGATCCATGGAATACATTGCGAGCAGCATAAAATCAATATTGATAAATATATAGCATATTAATCAATAAAATCAATGTTAATTGAATTTAAAAAAAAAATGAAACAAGTGGCGCCATCTCTCCGGCGAACAGGGTGAACTACACACTTTTGAAACTGTACTTTAATTAGTACCCATCTTCTACCGCTAGATGGCGTCGCATAAGACAGAAACTTAGGCTAATTAGGATTAGCCTAAGAACCGTTAACGATTGATAATAGTGTGGTAAAGTCGAAACAATTCGATGTTACTTGGTCTTGCAGTCCGATACAATTCAATTCATATTATAGTTAATTCAGCTAATAAAATCAACTATATGCATTGAAATGCATCGAAAACGATACTAGTGGTGCCATCTAGCGATAGAAGATTGGAACTAATTATAGTAGTGTTTCAAAAGTGTGTAGTTCACCCTGTTTGCCGGAGAGATGGCGCCACTTGTTTCATTTTTTTTTTAAATTCAATTAACATTGATTTTATTGATTAATATGCTATATATTTATCAATATTGATTTTATGCTGCTCGCAATGTATTCCATGGATCCGAAAATGCGGATTATGTGTTCAGATCAGTTCGGACATGATCATATTTTTTTTTTTTTTTTTTAATTCAATTAATATTGATTTTATTAATTGTTATGCTATATATTTGTTATATATTTATCAATATTGATTTTATGCTGCTCGCAATGTATTCCGTGGAACCAACATTTTTTATAGTATTCAGCGACGAGTGGCATCGAGGGCTTTTAACCCACGCGATGATGTGAAATCGTTCGCTTACTAAACTAATTAGCTGAAAGCGTGACGTAAGAAGGGATTAGTAAAGTACAATAAGACTGGCGGAAAGTAAAATAAAAAACAATTTATTAACGACAATCGCTATAATTACAATATCGTATATCGCGTGTGAAAAGCAATATTTCACTTTATACATCGTGTTTCTTTATCTTTTTGTTCTTTCTATTACTCGACGATAATTCTTTAATCGAATCGCAAGCTTACTATAAAATATCCGAACGCCCTCGTCGACTCGTCTTCGCGTTCGTCTCGTCCTTTGTCCCGACAAATAAAATCGTATCGCCGAGCGCGATCGATCGACGAGACGCGAATACGGATCGCGTTCGACCCGACAGATAAAAGGGAATCGACCGATTCGATCCACGGTCCTCCTGTAAAAACGTTGCGCTCGAAAATTTGTTATCGCGTTTAGCGAACTGGAGCTTTCGTTCTAGCAACTCAATACGAATTTCAAATTGACCGTTCGAAAGACGAATGGATCGAAGCGGATTAACGCGAGCAAAGGCGTCGACGCCAGCAACGATCAAGACAAACGGCTACAACAGCGACGACGCTAGTGGCAAAGGGAGAATGGAAAGTGCGAAGGGGGCTAGTTCAAGAAGCGATACTAACGATTCTAATTAGAAATCATAAAAGATACGAGCAAGACTGGCCACGAGTAAAGCACCGAGTCGTTAGGCGTTTGGCTCGAAACGTATCGAGAGGGATCGGAGCAAACGCCGAGCGAGAAGACAAGAGATAGAGCGACGGACCGTTCAATCCTTTCGCCACGGCCGATAAATTTCGATAAATTGTATCTTTATCGCTTACTCGAATACTCTCGCGGAAAATCGGTATCTTATCGTGGCTCGATACCGAATCAACGTCCCGACCGCTTCTTCCCGATAACGGTTAATCTTCGACGTCCGTGGCGAAAGGGTTCAAGTATCTAGAGACCGGTGTGTCGTGGGATTTGCTCGATAAAATCTACTTTGTCGGCCAATCGATCTTGGACAGAATCTAGATCGAAGGATGCTGCGCGAACCTAGAAAAATCGACACGGACTTTTTGAAAACGATCGCGTTTCGTTCGCTCGATCGCCAACTTCGCAGAGCCGATCGAACGTCGCGACGGCTAACATTCAACGCGCGTAAACGTCTTTTCTCTCTTTAGATTTCTTTTTAATCGGTTCGACGAGACGTCGACAATCGATCGATGACCAATTAACGCGTTCGCTAACATTTTCGCTTTCGCGTTAGAAATAATAGGAGCGCTAGCAACGGAGGGGTTAAACGCTCTAACGTACGGACGTTTCGTGATCGATTTATTACGTAGGCAGCGTTGCTCGAAGCGTCCCGAAGCAAAGAGTTGGCGGTTTTTCCGCGCGAACGACGCAAACGAATTCCTTCCTCTTTGCTAATATTTTTCGCGCGTCGCTTAACCTCGCCGCGCGTCGGACGTACAACGATTGCACGGAAATCCAAGCGAAATACGTCGTTTATGCGGCACGACGAAATCGCTCGGCGCTCGCGCGGCATCGCGCCGGATTCGACCAGCGCTGCGACTCGAGTGGCTCTTGTAATTATTTACAGTGTACACCGACGACGAATATCGTATTAATAATCTAGTGGAGTTTCTTTCGGAATACGTTTACACAGAATCGATAGAAATAACTTATACATCGAGTCACCTTCGGTGTTCGCTTTCGATCGCAAACTTCTTTCGAGTCGACGCGTATTTCGGCTGATTTTCCACACCGGTTCAAAGTCTCACGAATCAGAAATTTTCCGAGCTGTCCGCCTCTAACGCGTACGTACCGTTGCGTCCAGGGCACCGAAAAGACTTGCTTCACTGCGTCGAAGGCATCTCGTGGCTATTGTTTTAGTTTATTTAAAATTCTCTTCTTTTAAATAAATAAATAAATCGCGATCACTTCCGTTCATTTACTTAGCAGCATTGGACGTCAGAGCATCTGTACTAGATAGTTACGGGTTACTAAGCTTATCACTCTTTCTCTCTCGTTCATTCCATACGACCCTTTCACGCGCACCCTTTCGGCACCTTTCTCTCTACCACCCATCCATTCCGCTTTCTTCGCCTTTCTTCTCCTCTCTTTCTCGCAATCTTTCACCCTTTTGTCTCTTCTGTCTCTATCGATGCAGAAAATAGTTTCGCCTTTGTAATTGAAGCTTTTGTCTCGTTTAAAAACTGCCGACTTAAATGGTACTCTGTAAATCTAAACGCTCTGTGTCGTACAATCATATATCGAAATCTGTTAACTTTACACGGCTGAAAGATGGTCGCGGTTCGAGCGCGAACGACACGGAGCGCGGAGTGTTCGAAAAAGATTGCGTCGAACGTTCGAGCGAAGTAGCGGTCTTCGAAAGCGGTCGTACGAAGCGTCTAATAAGTATCGATCTAAAAACCATTTCGTTTTCGAATCGTAAGGCAATTTTTATCTACCCGTAAAAAGTTTTTGCGACGCAACAATCGAAAAAATAAATCGGCTGTAGGAATTTATGGGTGGAAGTAGAATTTGTTAAAATACTGAAGCCTCTCGTTTAACGCAACCCTCTTAGAACGGTGTAACGAATCGTTATTTTCCTTTTTCGTTCGTCTCCGTGTTCGTTCGCGTACGCGTACGTTGTACAGCAATAATGGTAGTTTCGTAATCGTCGTTAACGAAGACAGGCCGAACCCGTACGAGGAAGGAGTGAAAAATTTGTTACGAGTAACGGTAGTCGGAACGCGGATACGTCTCTAGCGTCGCGTGCATTCGTAGCTACCTCTGCGAGATACTTTATACCATTATCTAGCCTTTCTTTAATCATTAGTACTATTACTACCGTGGTGCCCTGGCTGTTAGTAAACTACCGAATGTAAATACTAAATATCGTCCACGATGTTGTATTCGAAGTAAAATCTATGTCGCTCGTTCGAGGAGCCTGATACGATGTCTGACACACTCATATAATTTTTCCTTCGTGCGTAGGAAAACTTTTGCGTGGATCCAGTCGTTGCTGGGCATCATAAACTTTTTCAAAGCGAATTTTCATCGGTCGGTGATGAAAAGAAACGCGGCGTAAGAAAACGAAACGTCTCGAAATCGGAACATTTTAACGTAATTTCGCGTAAAAGGTGTATAACCGAAATAAAGATTACATTCGATTATGTGAACGAATATTTTTGGCTTTTATTAAATTTACGAATTGTACCCAGCGTTATAAATTTTCTTTTGTCCTTTGCAGCTTTTTAAATCGCGCTGCGCGCGCGTACGCGTTAGGAACCTTGCTAAGGCAACGAAGGAGCCCTAAATTCAACGAGTGTATTGTTTCCCGTTTTCACACATTTGTTCTTTTTTTTTTTAAAGATTGTTTTAATGCATTTCCAGATTTTCATAATAATACTCAGGCACAAACAAAAACGTTGTGTTTGCAAGTTCTTCAAGAAAGAGACCCGGTACCTGTATGATTCTCCTTCAACGCCTTCTAACCTTTTACGCGTCTTAGACGTTTTCTTTTACTCGGTTAATTAGCTCGAGCGGTACGTTTTATTCGACAGCGAGTTACGCGAAAGCCTGTGCCGTAAAGCTAATATCGTAATTGGACCGCTTTCGGCTAAGTTATTTTAAAGCGAAATCATAATTACGCGCGTAGAAAGAAAAGCTTTTCCTTTTTTTTTAACACGCGAATAACACGATACAAATGTCAAAAACGTTCGTACAGGATGATTATTGATAATTAAAAACATTTAGAAAATCTTGCGAATATACGTACGATCAACCTCGAAGAATAATTTACCATGATACATTCTTCGTGGAATTTTACGATACAATGGTACAATAAATATTCGGGAAAAAGCTCTAAAAAGATACACATATACATATATATATATATATGTGTGTGTTTGTGTACATATATATAAATATAAAATAATACCCTTTTTACACCAACAAATTTCTAAATTGTTTTTTAAGAAAAACGTAAGCACGATCGAACAAAGTATACAACGTTCGTAAAGTTCAGTATTCGTTAACAGACAAAACAGCTATTTGTATACAAAACTTTCAAATAATTTCATATCACAGCACTAGCTATATAAATACAACGTTGAGAAGAGAGCTGAATACGAGAATCGAACCAGTATATCGTTAGAAGAAAAAGAGAGAAAACACACCGAACAAAATGAATCGTTACGCGAAATATTCGCTGCGAGAATCACGGGACCGAGGCTCCATCTTTTTGTTCTTCCTTTCTATTAATATTTTTCACTACAGAGAGCTTATTATGCTACGTATCGAAGTACTGGATGGAAAAAATATCCACGACAGAACGGAAAGGAAACGCCGTTTGCTTGTTGTTTTTTCTTTTTTCTTTGATACAATAACTGAAAATCGCTAATGATTACGGTGCGCATGAAAATACGTCGCTTCTTCCTTATCACATGTGCATCAGAGTTTTCGCACTCGCTCGTCTCAGGAATCTTGTTATCGTTCCGTTCTTTGTCCCTTTATAAATAACAAACGACACGGCTCGTTGATTATCGTCATGTCATGTTCGTTTCCATTTTCTTTCCTCTTCTCCTGATCCACCTCCTCCTCCTCTTCTTGAACCCTCCTCGTTTCTTCCTTGAACATATACGTACGCGCATCGTACTCGCTACGTCGCGTACGTACACGCAAGAACGACTCGTTCCCGATGACCGAATGGGCCGTGTTCGAAAGACGAAACGGATCAGCCGTCCATCCGTGATGGTACCGCCGATGACAACGGAGGGTACGGGTGATGTACCAAGGCCGGAATTCCAGTTGCGTCAGACTGCTGACTGGTTGAAACCGAGCATGAAATGGAGCGTTGCTATTTCTTGGTCGGCGTGCCTCGTTGCGTCAAACCTTCGAATCGCTTAAACGTGTAATTGATGAATACCCAATCCTTGTATATTACCTCTCCGTCTTGAGGCATCGGGGCGGATGCTGTAACAGAAACATTCCAGCGTTGTTACGATTAACCGTGCAGAACAGAACGAATATTCGCTATGGTCGTTGATACGTACGAATTTCCAATTTCACGTCGGGAAATTCGTCGAAATTGGAGGTGTCGTCGATCGAACGCACTTCGACGGGTATCGCGGCCGGTCGTTCTCTGATGTGCTCCCAATCGACTCCGCGGAAGAAGGGGGCTAATTTCAGTTCCTCGATGCCTCTTTGCGCACCTGAGATAAACGATCGTGCATACGATTAATCGTTACGAAACAATCGCTCGACACTGCGAACGTGATCGAGATATTAACCTAATCTTCTGTCGGCCTCGCAGCAGAATCTGATTATGGTGTCTTTAGCTTCTTCGCTGATGGGAACCTCCGGTGGAAACACCAAAGTTTCTCTCCAGTTCATCACTTTTCTGTAAGTTTCCTGAGGATTTTCACTGCAGAACGGAGGGTATCCTGAAACAGATTCGGTGATTTCGTTTGTTCGCTCGCAGGTTAACGAGCTCGAGCGTCGTATCAAGATTTCACGAGCAAAAAAATATCGATTAGGAAGAACGAGATGTCTCGGTACAATACCTATGAGCATTTCGTACATGATAACCCCCAAGGACCAACAGTCGCAGGCAGGACCGTAACCGGTCTGTAAAAATACTTCTGGAGCTATGTAGTCCGGTGTTCCCACTGTGCTGTACGCTAACGCTCTTCGGTTTCTTTTCCAACTTTCGGCTCTCCTTTTGCTGTCCATCGCTCCGCCGCTTCCGCTTCCACAGGATGTCACTACGGAAAACGATCGAAGCTCGATTGTTTTCGGTATTTCGCATTCTGGATCGTCGCGTCGAAAGTAGTCGGTGACTTTCGAGCGTAAATCACCGATCGCCGAGTCGTTCGACCTCGAAAAAGTTGACCGTATTTTTAGCGTCGAAACTCGAATGGAAAAGAAGGACACGGCTTACGCTCGAGTATCGGGAAGTACGTTCGACGCAACGGTTAAGGTTATTTCGTGATCGAGGCAACTGGACGAATCGCGAACTCGGTAATTACTCACTGAAGTCGGAAGGTTTAGCTTGACTGAGGTCTCTGTAGAAATCGGTTCTATGAGATTTCTTCAGTCCCGTGCACAGGCCAAAATCAGAGAGCTTTATGTGACCCCGCGCGTCCAGCAACAGATTGTCCGGTTTGATGTCTCTGCGAACAAATCGTCGGAAAAATCAGCGTTATATCTCGATTTCTCTTTGGAATCGTTACGCTCGCGTATCAGTAAACCGTGCCTTACCTGTGAATGAATCCTAGCTTATGAATAGAATCGATCGCTAGCGCCGTCTCGGAAATGTAAAACTGCGTGCACTCTTCGGACAGCGTGTCCTTCTTCATCAGCAATGTCATCATGTCACCTGCAAATGTACGCGATCGCGTTTGTCGAATCGATATTTCGATAGAAAGAAACGATACGAAAAGGAAAGTGACATACCGCCTGGAAGAAACTCCATTATTAAATACAGGTTAATGGGATCTTGAAAACTATAATACATTTTTACGACCCACTGATGATCCGCTTCAACCAACACGTCTCTCTCGGCCCTGACGTGCGCGACTTGTTCCTTTTCCAGCATATCGGCTTTTCTAAGAATTTTCATCGCGTACACGTGGCCGGTGTCCTTCTTCTGCACGAGTCTTACCTATCGGGCACAACGAAGACACGGATAAATCAAAGTTTCGGATGGCGCGTTACTTTTGCAACGAGTCCGTTCTTTGAAAACTTACTTCCCCGAAAGCGCCCCTGCCAATAACTTTCAGAGGCTCGAAATCTTCGACGCCGAGACGAGAGCGTTTCAATCGAAGAAATTCGGTCTCTTTCTGTGCATGTTGCAACCGTTTCTCTTGCTTCTGCTGCTCCGACAATCCCTCGTCTTTCAACGACTCCTCTAATTTCGCGAGCCTTTGCTTTCGTTCGATGTGCTGAGCTATTAGGTTACTGTAGTAATTCTCCAACGTTACCTACGATCGATACGCGCACCAAGGTATAACAACGAGCCGAGCAAGGAACAGCGAGAACGAAAAATAAAATTAAACTGGAAGAAACAGGAAGAGAGGGAGAGAAAGCAAGGGCGAGATACACAGACAGGAAACTCACCTTGGCCTTTGTAGCCTTGTCCAACGTGTGGCCGCTGAAACGGATCGTGCTCTCTGTGGCTGCCATCTCCAACACCCCTGTAACATAGGCAAAAGGAGGTCACCGAGTGTCGCGCACCAGTCTCCAGAAGCGAGTTCTCGTGCCGTGACAATGACACGGATCCTTCCGCGTTCAAATCTCTCGATCCGATTAAAAACCGCCAACGACCAAAGTTCTCCCGCTTCCTTTCATCGAGCTGCGCGGGATATCTGCGAAACCGCGAACAGATTTCGTCGCAGGAAACGACAACGCGTAACCGCTACGTATGATCGTACGATCCTAACCGGAGCGTTAAGATCGAGGTCATCGCGTTTCATCGTTCGATAAATCATCGTTACGCGATCAGCGTTCGTAATGGATAATAAAGCGACGCGATACAGACAGAAACACGCGTTTTGAAACGTGTTTATGAAAACGAAAGTTTTCGTAACGATCCTTTTTCCTGGCTACCGCGGTTATTCAACGCCGTCCACTTCTACCGCAGAAACAGATCGTTTTTTCTTTATCCAATCACTCGATCGAATTAAATCGCCGCCGACGCGAAATAGCAGAGAATTTAATGGTATTTCTGCGCTTCCACCTGTCTTCGTTCGCGTTTCTTCCTCCGCGAAATGTATCGCAAAAACGCTTAACGTCGAGCTCTTGACTCAACAACGCACAAAGAGCAACGGAAATCGAAGAAATTCGGTCTCTTTCTGTGCATGTTGCAACCGTTTCTCTTGCTTCTGCTGCTCCGACAATCCCTCGTCTTTCAACGACTCCTCTAATTTCGCGAGCCTTTGCTTTCGTTCGATGTGCTGAGCTATTAGGTTACTGTAGTAATTCTCCAACGTTACCTACGATCGATACGCGCACCAAGGTATAACAACGAGCCGAGCAAGGAACAGCGAGAACGAAAAATAAAATTAAACTGGAAGAAACAGGAAGAGAGGGAGAGAAAGCAAGGGCGAGATACACAGACAGGAAACTCACCTTGGCCTTTGTAGCCTTGTCCAACGTGTGGCCGCTGAAACGGATCGTGCTCTCTGTGGCTGCCATCTCCAACACCCCTGTAACATAGGCAAAAGGAGGTCACCGAGTGTCGCGCACCAGTCTCCAGAAGCGAGTTCTCGTGCCGTGACAATGACACGGATCCTTCCGCGTTCAAATCTCTCGATCCGATTAAAAACCGCCAACGACCAAAGTTCTCCCGCTTCCTTTCATCGAGCTGCGCGGGATATCTGCGAAACCGCGAACAGATTTCGTCGCAGGAAACGACAACGCGTAACCGCTACGTATGATCGTACGATCCTAACCGGAGCGTTAAGATCGAGGTCATCGCGTTTCATCGTTCGATAAATCATCGTTACGCGATCAGCGTTCGTAATGGATAATAAAGCGACGCGATACAGACAGAAACACGCGTTTTGAAACGTGTTTATGAAAACGAAAGTTTTCGTAACGATCCTTTTTCCTGGCTACCGCGGTTATTCAACGCCGTCCACTTCTACCGCAGAAACAGATCGTTTTTTCTTTATCCAATCACTCGATCGAATTAAATCGCCGCCGACGCGAAATAGCAGAGAATTTAATGGTATTTCTGCGCTTCCACCTGTCTTCGTTCGCGTTTCTTCCTCCGCGAAATGTATCGCAAAAACGCTTAACGTCGAGCTCTTGACTCAACAACGCACAAAGAGCAACGGAATATTACAAAGAAACGAAAGGAAGGGAAGGAACGACGTAAATTAATATATGTACGTGTTCGAGCCACGTTATCGCGCGATCCACATAAACGCGACGATCGAGTTCAAAGAGTCACGTAAGTACACGGAAAGAGATCGAGCTTTGAGCGTACAGTCGATTTTCGTTGCGGCTTGAATTCGTAATAAAAGCAACGCGCTGGAGACGCAAGCAGATATTTGACTAGAGGACGTGACAGACGTCGAAGGTTGAGGGTGGCGCGAATAGAATAAGTACATAATAGAGGGTTAAACGAAATTTTGTCGGACGATATCGAGCCTCGAAAACGGTGCAACGCTAACGTTGTTTCGCGTGGTGCAAAGGTCGGCTAACCTTGAAGTTTATTAAATGATAACCGCGGTGAACGATCGCGTTACGCTCGGTCGTCATTGCAACCTTTCGTTTACGAGAAACCGAGTTCTCTTCGAGTTTGTCATAGCTATATCTTCACCGCGACGGTCAACGCGCTAACGAGCCTCGTTTAACGTAATTTCGTAAGCAACCATCCCGTCCGATTATAAATAATTTTCTTAAATGCCCGAAAGTACGTCGAGCCAGGACGGTCTTTGTACAGATCGTTAGCGCGTACGTGTCCCGAAATATTTATGATCGAGACAAATCGGGGTACACGAGTTACGTTCGTATACGAGGTATTAATCGAGCGAAACAACGTTTAATCGGAACGAGTGCGAGACGAGAATGAAATCGCGTCGTTAATTAAAACGATATCGTTAATAAATTCCCAAGCGTACCGAGCCTTCTATCTCGGAACAGAAAATATTGAAAGCTGTTCTACCTGGATAGACTTTCGGCCAAGCTGGCGCGGCAGCGAAAAATTTATCGGCGATTCGGGATCGATCGCGAGAAACGGTGGTTCACTGGATAGATTCGACGAGCTCGCGCGCGACTTTCTGCCGCGCTCGTCCTCGAGGTACGCGTGTTTCGTGATCCTCGCGAAACTAGGGAGTAGGTACGATGACGTCACGCGCTGATTACATTACGGACTACAAGGCCGCATTAAACTATTCTAGAAGCCGTACTTTGCGCGTCTCTTGCATTCGGTCTGCGAATAAAGGGTAATACAAGATACTCGAGGCTCTTTCCGTCTCGCTATCGCGATCGTCGAGTTTCCATCGCTGCTCGTTCGATACCGCCGGAACTCTCGACTCTTTCGCTCGGAGGTCTCTTTCAGCGATCGAGTCGAAATCAACCGTTCGCTGCTTGTTCCTCGATCGTATTTAGCATAATCTCCCCGAGTATCGTAGTGCACTCCATTTGTGCTACAGTTCGTACGACGGCTATCAACTTCAGCCTAAATTCCACCGCGTATGGTCGACCACGTTCAGCTAGATACTCGGCAAGTTAAAAAATTTCATCGGATTGGGCGACTATTCGAAGGATAAACAACGCGATAACTGACATGTCGACTGTTTCTGTCATTGATCGTACGACTTCCCTTCGGCACCGATTACGTAAACCGCGTTCGAATCGCGCAACAGTCGCTAGCGTTTCATTCGTCGAGCGGTATGCGCGACGTTGTCGCGTTTTTGCATCGCAAATTCGTCGAAAAATGCAGGAACACTTGAATTCCATCCTCTTAATTTCGTTTTCTCGATGCAACGACGGTCGTAAAGGACTCTCGGTGCCGATCCAAGATATTTCGCGGGCACGTAAACGGTTATGTACATGGCGTTATGGTAAACCGAGAAAAATAAAAGCCGAGTGGCGGCTAAGATGAAACGAAATCGCGACGAAAAGTGGCACGCGATCGAGATAAATGGCAACGAGAATATGAACTCGTTACGATGCTCGTACGGCGCCGCTGAACTTCGACTAGAAATCGTGTGAAAGTGAAAATGGTGATCGCGTCGCGTGGCGTCGCGTCACGACGTCCTCCGACGC